CATAGTGTTTTAATTTGTTAATGTTTTTATAGATAAATAGCTAAACAAGATATAAGATATTCTAATGCTCGAACTAAAAAAAGAAAATTTTCTTGTAATCAGCACCTAAAATCTTCAAAGTTTATACAATTTCTGATTTAAGTTTATCAGCAAGCTCCAGAAAAATAGTAAACACTGAAATATCTGGAAGTCAAAAAAAAAATACAACGTTATTATAAACTTTAATATTTTAAAACTAATGGTTAGTGAGTTTAAATACCCCGAATGTGGAAATAAAATTTGTTTTGAATATGATTTAAAAAGCAAGAAAGGTTGTTTTTTTTAATTAACTTTACACTGTAAAGTTAATTAAAGTTTTCACACAAAATATAACAACTTAAAAATTAACTGATGCAGTAGGAACACCTGGAGTATTTGGTACAAAGTAATGGGTAACAAAGACACTGTAAATTACAGTGTCTTTGTTACCCATTTAGCAAAGAATGGCACACGTTTCAGTTTTCTACTAAATTATCTAAAAGTACTCCAGGTGTTCCTACTGCATCAGTTAATTTTTAAGTTGCTTTATTTTGTGTGAAATTGGTAAAGGTTATCAATCTATACGCAAATTTGTTGCAGTAATGAAAATACAATCTCTTATGAATTTTAAAAACTATAGTGCAATAAGTAACAATTTGTTAAATATTTAAAATGAAGTTGCTTCTGCAAGTATGTCAAGCGCAGCCAACGAAACCAAAAGATATTATTTCTAAATCATACAATGTTAATGATGTTTCAGCTTGCCAATTTTCTGTTGATGGGTTACCTGGCAAAAACTTTTCTGTTGATTGGTTACCTGGCAAAAAATTTTCTGTTGATGGGTTACCTGGCAAAAAAATTTCTGTTGATGGGTTACCTGGCAAAAAATTGTCTGTTGATGAGTTACCTGGCAAAAAAATTTCTGTTGATGGGTTACCTGGGAAAAAATTTTTGTTGATGGGTTACCTGGCAAAAAATTTTCTGTTGATGGGTTACCTGGCAAAAAATTTTCTGTTGATGGGTTACCTGGCAAAAAAGAGACCATCAATCTTTAAATCACAGAATTCTCTCTCGATATTTCAGTCACTGAAATATCGAGAGAGAATTGAAAATGTCTTGATTCAATTTTGTTAAATAAGTTCTGCAAAGCTTGTAGTTATTGGAACAAAAAAAAGGTTTTGACAACACCAGGTTGTCAAATGGTTGTCAAAATTTATGCATGCTTCGTAAAGTGGACTGCAACCAAATTTAAAAAATGAATCAAAAATCAAGTGCTAAAGGTAAATGGAGGAGAAAACAGCTTAGAGCCATCAAAAAGGTTACATCGATATTGAAAAAGAACTCGAAAAGGACCCACAATATAGTAGAGGAGGTTTTTAATTAAGCTTTTGCTTCTTTTCCTAATATAACTAACTTTTATTTTGTTTTTTTGTCTTTTTCTCAAAATTTTTACCAAATACCTAAATTTAAAAATGCAATATTTTCAGTTTGGAACCATATGCTGACTTGAAATTTTCAGGGTGTTTTTGTTATAAATTGACTTAGGTAATGAACCAAAATTACAAATAAATATGATGTATAAGTATGTTTAAAATCTTTTTTTTCTAGTTTTTTTTGTCAAAAATTTTCTTAAATATATAGAAAATTACTTTTAAAATGTTCTATGCATCTTTAATGCATGATTTTGGTTCATAACCTCTTCATACTTTTTAAGAACATAGTGTGAAAATATCAGTGTTAAAGGATATATAGAACTGGTGATATTTTGTTTTAAATTACACCCACATTTTGGCAATTTGTATGGAATAAGTGAGACAAAAGTTGGGCAATCAAGATTTTTTATTTAAAAAAAAATCCGCATACTTGTTTTAACTAGTGTATTGTAGTTTTAATTTTGTATTGATTATTTTAAGAAATTATTTAGAATGGGGGTGTACCATCTTAAGGTTTTGGTTTTTCTATACAACCATACTGAGTTGGTAGTAAAAGTTAACAAAAAAAAAAAAAGATAAAATATAATCTTAGTGGATAAGCTATAAAAATAAAATAAATGGGATTATTTTAATTTTAAATTAAAATACAAAAACCACCGTGAAAGCAAATCAAATTAAACTGTAATTCCAGTAAAGTAAAATTAATGTAAAACAAGTAAATACAAAATTAAAACATATACATAACACATTTAAATAAATAAAAGTAACACAAATATTTTTCTTGTTATGTTTTCTTGTTTTTATTTTAATTATTTTATTTAGAATTCAAACAAAACATTCGTTTTTTCGTTTTTATTTTAATGATTTTAATCAAAATTTAAATAAAGTGTTTTTTAATAATTTTATTTAGAATTTAAATTAAAAGTTTATTTTGTCGTTTTTATTATATTTAGAATTTAAATTAAACATTACTATAACACTAAAATATAGTAACACTGTGACACTAAAATATAGCAACACCATAACACTAAAATATAGTAACACCGTAACACTAAAATATAGTAACGCCATTGCATTAAAATATAGTAACACCATAACACTAAAATATAGTAACACCATAACACTAAAACATAGTAACACCACAACACTAAAATATAGTAACGCCATAACACTAAAATTTTAATTTTCATTTGAATGACGATTGAACTTGTAGTCATGCCTTAAATTTTTTTGAGTTTAAAAAGGATAAGATTAGTCAGAAACAACAATCCAATTAGTCAGATTTAAAATAAATTACCTAAGTTATAATAAAGAATATGACAGTCATTTACTTGTTTCACCAGACCTCACTCACACAAAAGTAAAACAATTATTCAGCGGTCACAAACAGTATACAAAATTTAAGCTTGGAGAAACAACTTATTGGACATAACAATAGGAATGGAAAAAATAACTTCTAAAAGCTTTATGTTCAAACATTTAATGTCCAAGTAACATTTTTCTGACATTTCTCAACTAGGAACCCAATTAAAAAACAAACCACAAAAAACTTTCCAAAGAAAAAATACTTACTGCTCAAATGTAGCGGCAATTTACAATGTGTGAAGTCTACAGAGTGATAATTATCAAAATAACCCCAGTTAACAACATATTTTTTTTTTAATCAAATGTTTCTGTTAAATGGTAAAACGTTAAAGCCCTATAAAATTTAATGTTGCAAATTAACCAAAAAGAAAGACGCGTTTGTTTATTGCTGCTAAAATAAGCTTTTATATTTTGAAATAATTCGAAAATGGCAAAATTTTTAACAATTGTAAAAGAATTTTTGGAATGTTATGAAAGCACTCTACTAAAAACCTTTGGAGAGAGATTTGATAAGTTAGAAGAAAAATTTTACAACGAAATTGAAAAATTAAAAAACGAAAATGCTTTACTGAAGAGAGAAGTAGCTGAAGTTACTAAAGCAATGAATTTCCAGAATGAATATTATGAACAAATTGTTAAGGAATCAAATGACCTAAAAGTAAAACTCAATAATTACAACAAAGACAACGAGAATCTAAAATGCACCGAAATTATTCAAGATAAATTAGCATAATTAGAAGATAGGAGTAGACGAAACAATCTTCGTTTTGATGGCTTTGACGAAAGAGAAGAAGAAACTTGGGAAGATAGAGAATCAAAGGTTAAAAAGTTCTTAAAGGAGAAACTCGGAATCAAAAACAACATTGCAATCGAAGAAGACACAGGACTGGGAAGAAGCACGTACCTAGAAAAAGAAGAAGAACTATCGTGGTAAAGTTTCTTAATCATAAAGATAGAGAAACCGTATTAAATGAGTATAAAAAAAGAAAGCTATGGAACGAAAAAATATATCTCAACGAAGACTATAGCAATCGCACAATCGAAAAAAGACGATTTCTATTTACAAAAGCAAAAATACTTCGAGCTGAGGGTAAGTTTGCTAAAGTTATATATACCAAACTTGTAACGCGCGCCTTTGAATTATAAGAAATTCTTTTAAATCTTATTCAGCACACAAAAAATGATAGCAACAAAAAGTATAAAATGGATGACTATGAGTCACTTATTTTCAACTTCATAAAGAAATACATTGGATCTGATGAAAACACAGATCCAGATATTAATTATTTGAATGACTTAAAAATAAATTGTTTTTATCATTATTGCTAGTGAGTTAAAAGAATTTCTTTCTAAAAATGGCGACAAAAACAAAAAAATTAGAATTGTCCACATAAATATAAGAAGTATGAACAAAAATTTTGAAAATCTTCGACATTTTATAGAAGAAACTAAAAACTATTTTGATATTATTTGCTTAACGGAAACTTGGTGTTCACAAAATGAGCTTAATAATAACTCTAATTTCCATCTTCTTAATTTTGATACAATTTTATCAGAAAGACAATTAAATTAACGCGGTAGAGGAATTCTGATTTACGTAAAACAAAATATTGCACACAACGTTAGGAATGATTTGTGCGTTTCTAACGGCGATAAAGAAATCGTTACAATTGAAATTTTAATTTCAATTGTAACGATTTCTTTATCGTTACAATTGAAATTAAAATTTCCACTAAGTTGTTGTTATAGACCACCTGGTGGTGCGTCAGAAAATTTAAGCTTATACTTAAAGCACAACATTTTTCATAAAGGTAACGTAGAAAAGAAAAAATACTTTATAATTAGCGATTTAAATATGGATTGCTTACGATATAGCGAAAACAAAAAAATAAAAAAATTTTATGATGAAATATTTGTATCAGGAGCAATACCGCTTATCAACTGGCCTTTTCGAATAACAGAAAACTCAACCACTCTTATAGACAATATTTTAACAACAAATATATATGACAATGACATTCAAATAGGCATTATAAAATCATATATATCAGACCATTTCCCCATTTTTCTAACAATTAACACAATTTCAACTCCTAACATTAATAATAGTAAAACTATAAGAAAACTTATTTTTAACAAAAAAAATTTAGAAGCATTTAAATAATCAATTATCATTGTTAAACTGGAAGCATATAAATTTTAATGAAGACATAAATGTAATCTATAATAAGTTCTTTAATACATTCTTCTCGGTGTACGATGCGAATTTTCCCGTTTCCGAAATAACCTTAAAATCAAAAACCTTAAGTAGTCCTTGGATTACCAAGGGTTTTGAAAAATCTTCAAAAATTAAATAAAAATTGTATATAAAATATTTAAAAACTAAATCTCAGGCTAATTTACGCATATATAAAAACTACAAAACTCTATTTGAAAAAATTCGTAAAAACCTAAAAAAAAATTATTACTCTAATCTAATCACTAAAAATGACTCAAAACAAATATGGAAAATGTTGAAAGAAATAACGGGAAAACAGAAAACCTGTTCAAATTTCCTTCCGAAAATGATTAAGATAAACAATGTATGTGTATATGAACCAAATGAAATAGCGAAAGAATTTAATAAATACTTTACTGATATCGGAAGTTGGCTGATAGGATTCCATCTACAAATATTTCCTTTAATGATTTTTTGACAGCTTCAAATAATTTACTTTATTCCCATGACTTATTCCTAGACCTATACAATAAGGGGTTTTCCCTGATCTATTAAGTTATCCCGATTTATAAAGAAGGAGAAAAATCAAACGTAAATAATTATCGCCCTATTTCTATCCTTCCTACGTTTTCAAAAATATTAGAAAAAGTTGTCTTCGAAAAAACATACAACTACCTGGTTTCAAATAATTTACTATATAAAAATCAGTTCGGCTTTAAAAAAAATAGTTCAACTGAACAAGCCATTATTCAATTTACACTTGAAGTCTCAAATTCTTTTGCTAATCCACAATATACACTTGGTGTTTTTGTCGATTTATCAAAGGCTTTTGATACAGTCAATCATGGTATCTTACTTAAACACTTGAGTTCAACAGAATAACTGGTAAAATGATCAAATGGTATAAAAGCTACTTGTCAAATAGAAAACAATTCGTCTACCACGGAGAAGAATTGCTTCCTATTAATCTTCAAAATAAAACATTAATTGAAATAAAATGCGGTGTTCCACAGGGTTCTATCCTTGGCCCACTTCTCTTTTTAGTATACGTCAACGATATAAATAAGGCCTCGAATCTTATAAGCATCATGTTTGCCGTATATTATTTTTTCTACGTATAATATATTGAAATATTTTTGAGATATTATTTTAACCATTTCTTATTTCAAATGTTTTGGATTTTTATTTTGTTATAAACTACCTGTATTATATTATATTATATCTATATTGTAATTTTTATATGGTTCTGGCGACAAGATCGATATGATCTTCTTCCAGATTCCAACTTTATATGTTTATATTACATGGAAATCACGACATGTAAATAATGTAAACTGAAAAAAAATAAAAAATAAAAATATATATATATATATATATATATATATATATATATATATATATATATATATATATATATATATATATATTTGTTGAGAATGCGTATCCATTAAATAAGAGTTCATAACATAGAAACAGTTACATCAAATAAAAAATTAAATATTTATCTTATTTATAATAGGTATTAAGTCGAGACAAAATTGTAGTTGTAAAGCATATCAAATATCTAAAAAACAAAGTTTCTATTTAACATCTAAGGTCAGACATTTTAAGTCAGAAAAGATCCTGTTAATAAGATCTTGCATAAAAACTTCTTTCCTGCCGTTAGATTTAAACAGTAAGTAGCAGTGAATAAGTTGCAGTAAGCATCTTTTTATTTAAATATTTTAGAAAGCTAGTCAATTTTAGTTTTTATTAGGAAACTTAGTTAAAAAATGCCAACTCTTGCAATGATTGCAGTTTATGTGCAATCCTAAAACTCTGTAATATTTATATTGATACTTTATATGCAATAAAACTTGAATGCACTCTATGCATTTAAGTTCTCTATAATAGTAAAGTTAGTTATTTAAATAAGTTTACTTCCTAAAATACAATTTTTTATAAAAGATGAACTTTATTTCCAGCAAAAAAAGTTTAACATAAAAATAACTGTTGTTGCCATAATCGTGATGTCATAATCAAAATATAATGCGCAGCCATTTTCAAAATTTATGTTTAAGTTAAAAATTTTTTTTTTGATCTTTGTAATTATATTTCGAACGTTCGAATGAGATTGAAAATATCAAAAAAAGGATTTACATCAACTTTTGCGTCAACTAAAATAATGATAGCAGTCAGATAAAATCTTCACTAACTTTATGCATATCAGAATACTTTTCTTTAAATTCGTGCAATACAAAGCAAAATTTGTTTCTGGCATTAATAGTGTTTGCACGAATTGTTTTCTGAAGTGGAAATTCTTGAATTATTGAGTCAGTGTTTTGCAAAGGGAATTCGATCTTAGAGTTGGAAATAGGTTTGTGAATGTTGTTTTTAAAAGAAATTTTTTTTTCTTTACAAACCTTTTCATTAAACTCATTTTGAACAGTATTGTAAACTTTATTAAAACACGCTTTTTGAAAATTTACAGTTTTATCATTGTTTATTTGGTTTATTCCCAACATATGTTTCCCAGGGCAAATGCTATCCGCTGTACTTTCAGTCACATATTCTTGAAACAAAGAATTTGTTTTTTCTTTGCTACCATTTGTACATTGTTGGAGTAAATGTTCTGTTACATTACTTGGTGTACTTTTATGGTAAAAGTGGTTAAAACGTATTTTATTTGCATTCTCTTGAAACTCAAGTCCTTCATTTTTTATACTTCCTCCGAAGATTTCTTGTATACTCTTTTTCCTGTTCTCTTGATTCTCATCATGATATCTTTGTGACAGCTGGGGCTCGTATTGCGTGTAACGTGTAATAACAATTTTTTTGTCTCTATCATTATTTGTAATACAGTAGTTTACAGTAGTGCTATTTTTTCTACTATTAGAAGAATCATTTATAGATGTACCGCAATTTAAACTGCAATATTTAAAAAAATTGTCTTCAACTAGTAAATTAGAGTTTATTGAATAATCGTGCTTAAATGAGAAGCTACAATTTGTCAAACAATTATCTTTACATGGTAAATCAAAACTTTTTGAATATTCATTCCATGCACCATGTTTAGGTACTTTGTTTATCTTAAAACCTGTCAAAACAAATACTTTTAATGGTCTTTCATCGCATTCTTTCAACTCGCATGAATTTTTTTTCAAATTGCAACTGTTTTTTGTGAAAGAGTTTTCTTTTGTTTCTAATGGAGTGTTGTTATAGGTTAATTGTAGTTTGCTATCAATAAGTTTGGTCTGATAATTGACATTTTTGCTGAATTTTTTTGATTCAGTGACAGGTTTTTCTTCTATTTTTAGATCTCCTAGCTTATTTTTCTGAAAATAGTATTTCCCTTTAACCAGTTCATCACCAGCATTTTTGTACAATACGTCAGAATATTCAACCAGCTCGTCATCAGTGTTTTTACACAACTTGTTAGAATATTCAGCTAGCTCCTCACCAGTGTTTTTACACAAACTTTCGGTATATTCAAATTTTCTACTCAATCTATTTTCTCTTCTCTTTAAAGATTCGTAATATGTATCCTCTAATGCTAAAGCTTTACTACTTTTTAATGAATTATTTAAAAAATATGAATTACTTGGACAGTTTATTGGCGTACCAGTGGCACAAATTGTTAAACCGTATTTATGTTCTTTAAAATCTTCACTTTTATTGTATGTGTAGAACATTTTACGATGCTAACTATAAACACCTAAAAAAAAAATATCTGATGAATTACAAGAAACAAAAATGTTTGGTGAAATGTTATATGGTTATATTTCTTACAACAATGGTTTAAAATAAAATTAAACTGGAAAAAAATTTAACATAATTGAGTCGTTAAGTTATCTATTTAAAAAATATCTTTTTTTTTTGTTTAAACTTATGTAGATTAATTTATTAAAATAGGTGTAAACAAAATTCGTCAAAACATGTGTCAAAACAACAAATGCCGAAATATGTCTTTAAACATGTTTCAAAACAAAGTTTCGCATGTTTTGACCAAATTGGTCAAAAGCATTGAACTAGGAAATTCGCGTTTTTTTCGAAATGTCGTTTATTTGGCTAGAGCCAGCATAGAACTTTAAACCTCATAGTTCTCTAAACTACTCTAGCCATCTACTCTGCCACGGCAACTTTTCATTAGTTCCAATCATTAATTATTTAAAAAAAAAAATACCACAATTTTTATCTTTTTGAACATTAAGAGTGTATTGAAATTACTTGTATAAAATTTAAAATTTATTAATGAATATGAAGTATAAAAGCCTAAAGCTATTAAAATTGATGATGAAATTTTCTATGATCTGAATTTTAGCAAAAAATTTCAATCATAAACAAACAAAAAAAAAAAATAAACAAAAAATAGATGTAGTTTTCCTTTAGTGTCTTATCTAAACTCTTTTGACGAATTCGATAGAGCTTTTAGAATGCTAAAGTTAAAGAAGGCAGTCGGTCCTGATTAAATCATTGGAAACATTGTTATTGATTCATATGATATCATAAAAAATATCCTTTTAAAAATATTTAAATGTTCAATTCAACAAGAAATTTTTCATGATGAATTAAAAACAGCCAAAGTTTCACTAATACCAACTTAATGTTTGTAATTACCGTCCATTAACTGTTCTCTGTTTTCTCAAAAATTATATAGAGTTCTTGGTAGTAAAAATTTTCATTTATATTTTTCAAAATAATCTACTATATAAAAATCATTATGGATTTAAAAAAATAGCTCTTCTAAAAACGCTATACTCCAAATAACACAATATATTACAGAATCATTTGAAAAATACTAATTTACCTTTTTATTGGTTTTTCTTGCATTTTTATTGATTGATTTTTATTTGTCTAAAGCCTTCTATATGATTGATCATAAAATTCTATTTAAAAAACTTAAATATTATGGAATCTCTGGCAATGTTTTGAAGCAATTGAAAAGTTATTTAAGGAATAGAAAACAATTTGTTTACTATGACGTATCATCAAAATCAAAATTGTTAGACATATGACATGCGGAGTTCCTCAAGGGTCTGCCCAAGAACCTTTACTATTTTTCATTTACATAAACGATCTTTATAAATCTAATTTAATGATAATTACGAATGCTGATAACACGAGTATTTTTTTTTATTTCATAGCAACATAACCACACTCTTTTGTAGTATGAGCATAGAATTAATTAAAATTTCTGAACGTGATTTATACGTATAATAACGATAAGTTTATATTTGTATATATATATATATATATATATATATATATATATATATATATATATATATATATATATATATATATATATATATATATATATATATATATATATATATATATATATATATATATATATATATGTATGTATTAGGGTCGCCCTTAAAACAACTTTTTTGAATAAAAATTACTTTAAGGGGTCCCTCAAGACCCTCAAATATTTA